CCCCTCCCTCCCCCACCAAACTCACACATCACCTGCGCATGACACATTTGCTTAGTGGCTGACAATGGCAACCCTTGTTTGTGTGTCAAACAGGACATAGCTGATGTGGTGGTGAAGCGTGCAGAGATGGGCAAAAACTTCGGCACGGTGTTGATCCCCGAGGGTCTGCTGTCGCACCTGCCCAACATGCGCAACCTGGTGGCCGAGCTCAACCTGGTGCTCAAGGACATGTCGGACAGCGGCCAGCTGCGCCAGTTCCAGACCAAGATGGTCCACCTGGAGGAGCTCGACGCATCGGAGCTCAGCACCATCACCGACAAGATAGCCCCCTGGAGCCTCGCACTCTTCAAGTCCTTCCCCAAATTCATCCGACGCGAGTTCCTGCAGCTCGACATGGGCGAGGTCACAGACACAGAGGGAGGGAACGGCAGCCAGACATGCACACAACACGGGCGCCATGTGAGTGTCTTTCTTGGCCAATCTGTGTCATCAGATGCGGTTCACCCACATCGAGACGGAGCAGTTGCTGCGGCAGATGGTGCAGCAGGAACTGGAGAAGAGACGGTCATACGGCAGGTCAGTCAGTGGCTGAACCTCAGCTTCCTCGCGGACACCAATGGATGGATGATGCCTGAGACCGACATAGACCTGAGAGCTTCTCTGGTCGTGTGTGTCAGGTATAGTGGCAAGTTCCAGGCCGTGACTCACTTCTTTGGCTACCAGGGCCGCTCGTCGATGCCCTCAGAGTTCGACGCACAGCTCGGCTTCACACATGGGTGAGTGAGTCAGTGAGCGAGTGGGTGGCCCACCCAGATGAGGATCTTAGTGTCTGTGTCATCTCATCTATCAGCCACCTGGCGGCCATGTGTGTTGAGAGCGGTCTGACGGGCTACCTGACGACTGTGAGAGGACTCTGCGGACCCGCGTCTACATGGAAGATGGGAGCCGTACCCTTTCCGTGCCTCCTCAAGGTGAGCTAAGCTAGCGACATGAATGACACCACACAGACAGAGCACAGAGACAAGAGGACGGACGATATCTATCGGAGATGGATTGTGGTGTGTGTCGTGTGCAGGTTCTGCCCCGGTCAGGCGATGAAGTGAATGTCGTCCTGGAGAATGTGCCCCTCGTCCCCTCAGCTGAGGTCGATCTTGAGGGCAAGGCATTCAGGTCAGTCAGTGTCACACACCATTTGGTTGGCGCAAAACCATGACAGCCTGCCTGCACTCGTGTGGCTCCCTCCCCTGTCTAACCAGATGGATGAAGAACAGCATCTCCGGGTGGGAGATGGAGGATCGGTTCTGCAACCCGGGGCCCATTCAGTTTAGCGGCAGAGCGGCCTCCTTCTACAACCGCATACTGCACGAAGAGCAGGCTGAGTACCTCGAGATGCTCAGACACGTAGAGGCTTACACACAAGTCCTACATGACACATGCCGGTAGGTACACAACACAACACACACACCCGCACACAGACAGACAGACAAGGGAGAGGGCCAAACAAATCATCATCATCATCTCGCCCTGCCTCCCTCTCTCCCTGCCTGCGTGTGTGTCAGCTTTGGTGTGGACGAGAATTTCCTCAAGACGGCGTACGTGACGCTCAACTCCCTGCTGACTCTGCGGTTCCATCCCGACGACGTGCTGTCTTACGGCATCCCGGTCTCGCAGCACCTGTCGGACCACCACCGCCACGAGGCTCTGAGCAACCAACAGGTGCTCATGGGGGCCCTCCGGGCGGCCAAGTCAGACCGAGCTCACCTGGTGGGCGACAATGACCGAGAGGAGAGCCGCGAACTCTACGACGAGCGCAAGTTCCTCCCGGCCAACGGCAAGCGGCCGCACGGGGGACAGACAGCCATCGGGCTGTCGCCGGCAAACACTCGGGGCATTCGCTAGACAGACAGACACACAGACAAAACAATGTCAGTCGCCGGCTTTTGTAGTTGGTAGGCACTTCCCAGAGCAGGGGGACCGGGAGACGGGCAGGGGGCCGCTCTGGCTGGGCGTGTGTGTGTGTGTGTGTTGTGTGGATGTGTTGTGGCAGCTTTATGACAGCCCGACCGTCCTTCGTGTGTACGTGTGCGTGTGCGTCAGGCCAGGCCTTTTTCATCTGGCAACTACTAACACACTTTGTATGGCCTGCCTGCCTGTCTGCCTGTCTGCGCGCATCCCATCATGCGGGCGGGAATGCTCCCCTTTTTGCAGCCAGCCGCCGACACAATTAGTGCTGGGAGGAAGCATGGCCGGAAGGTCTTTCTGCAGTTTTGGGAACGTAGCTATCGATGAGTGTGTGATTGACTGAGAGGGCTATGAGAGACGTGTGGTGAAGTGTACTCTACCTGCTACCTGGATGGCGACGTCTGCTTGCCCGTGGGGAGCAGCCATCGATCGCCTTTTATCATATATGCTGGCTGCTCGTCACATCACGTGCTGTGTGCGCACGGGAGGGACCTTTCTTGTCGCATAGCGCGGTTTCAACCATGACAGACAGCACATACATCGTTCTCTCAGCCTTTAGATAGCGAGTCCATCCCTTCATCCATCCCATTTCTTATCGAACAAAGTCCAGTCAGTCCCAAGGGGTAATATCCAGCAGCAACATGCAGCCAGCTGTACACTCACCCACCACACACGGACATGCACACCCAAGCAGGTAGGGTAGGCGGAGGCAGTGAGGCCGCTCCACGCAGCCATCGACTGCCTGGACGAGCCATGCCTATGAATTGTGTCGTGTCGTGTCGTGTCGTGCCGCGTCGTGTTGTTTGTCCGAACGAACAGCAAACCAAAAAGGGATTCCGGTGCGTCGACGCTGCCCCCCATCCCTCCCCTCCTGCCGCTGTGCTGTCCGCATCGATGGACAGACAGTACAACGGGGGGAAACAAGACAGACAGACAGACAGCAAAGCAGTGGAGAAGACCCAAGCAAAGACATACACATTCAGATACATCGACTGCCGAGTCCGTGTACACCATCAACTCATCCCTCCCGCCCGGCCACATCCTCCCATCCCCAGCAGTCCATCCACCCACCCGTGTGTCAATCGGCCCTTACACAGACAGACATGTATGGCCCGGCCCCCTCTATAAACAAGTACACACAACAGACGGACGGACGGACGGACGGACAGACCGACCGGCCGACCGACCGACCGACCGACCGACCGATGTGTGACTCACGGTGGGCACCTCCCTCACCTGTACACCACTGAAAAAAGTTGCACGCACACACGACACGCACCTGTGTGTGTGATGGGGTGCGGCCTGTGTGCGTGCGTTGCGACAGCCCCCCCACCCCCCCTGCTGTGTGGTGTTGGTCTGTCTAGCCAGTCAGAACGACGGTCTTGCTGGGGTCCTTGGTGCGGTGGGCCTTCAGACCAGCGGTGCTCGGCAGGCGTGTCTTCTCGAGCTGCTCCTCGGCCACAGCAGCCTCAGTGTTGTCTATCTGCTGCACAACAGGCTGTGGGGCAGCAGGCGCCTCCTCGATGGTGGGATCACGGTCCTCTTGCTCGCGAGGCTGCTGCTCCTGCTGTGGTTGCTGCTGGTGCAGGCGGGGGACTGTGATGGTGAGCAACCCGTTGGCGTCAGCCGATGCAAGCACGCCCTGACCTCCCGTGCAGCCGCAGTCTGCGTCACGAGGCAGCTGAACACACACACACACACTCTCCTCACCGTTTTATCAGCGCCCCTCTCTGCCTCCCTGCTAACCTGCTCGACGATCTCGAGGATGGAGAGGGAGCCGCCCATGGCGTCACCGTCGTTGCTGGCGTAGCGGATCCGCAGCATCTTGTCGTGCGACACGGCCACATCCACGTCCTTGTCGTCCACCACACCCGAGCTGCCCACAGGCAGCTGAATCTGGTATGTGTAGGCCTGGGGGGTCTCGTCGATCAGAGAGAGAGAAGGCACGGAGCCGCGGAAGGCGAAGGGCGAGTGACGGAGGCCGATGTTCATGTCCAGGAGGGGTGTGATGGACAGCCGGGGCATCCGGAGGCGGTCCAGGCTGAGCAGAGAAGGCAGCTGCACCGTCAGCTCATCCACGTCGCTGAATATCGACCTGACGCACAACAGAACACAGCGAACAGGCAGTTCGGGTGTGTACGGTAGGTACGTGAGAACAAGTCCACTCTGTGTGTGGCCAGCACCTGAAGCTGTCCATGGGGGAGGAGAAGACTGACTTGAGCTGCGCGCTCCGGGCGGCATCGCGCGAGGCGAAGCACGCACCAGCGAGGGACAGCAGAACAAACGCACGCATCATCTTCACTTTTGTGTGTCCGAGAATCGTGTCTTGCCTGTTGAGATTCGTGAAACGCACTTTTTCCAGCTCGCATCGGGAGCTCGAGCTGGAGGCGAAGAGGGTAGGTGTAGAGCTGTGTGTGTAATGAACGGTGAGTTGAAGGAGGGACTACCCGGCCCCGGTGAGTCGTCAGCCAACCTGAAGGAGGAGATGGACACGGCTCAGCAGGACAACAGGGACGAGCAGGACGGCCACCACCCCAACGAGTACGGCGACAGGTACGACGAGAAGGAGCGGGGCGGCGCTGACCGATACGACGAGCAGGAGAGGCGCGATGACGACCGAGACCACGACACAGACAGGGGCACTGCGCGACGCAGGGAGGAAGAGGACAACCAAGACGGTTCGTTGGGAGGAACACACTGGGAGGAGAGGGAGGGAGAGGCCCGACGCACACGGATGGATGTCGTGCATTCTTGTCGTGTCTCTGTGTGCTGTCGTTCTGTTGGGTCGGTGCGGTACGGTGCAGGGAACGTGTTGTATGTGACGAACCTGCACACCCGTTGTGACCAGAGCCAGCTGATCAAGGAGTTCGACCGTGACTTCAAGGACTCCATCACCGACACGAGGGTCGTCCTCAACCCCGTCACCAGGTAAGTCACCCCACGAGACGACAGACAGCCACGGACATGTATGTTCGTGTGCATGCCCTTGTTGTTGTGTGTTGTGTGTGTTGTGTTGTGTCAGGGAGTCTCGCGGTTTTGCGTTCATATCGTTCACGTCTCCCGCTGAGGCTGACCGAGCCATGCGCCACATGAACGGCGTCAAGATCATGGGTGCGTACGTACGGCAGACAGCCAGACAGACACGCGACTGACTGACTGACTGACGGGCCTCTGGGCGTGGCGTGTGAGTGGTGCACTCACTCACTGCGGTGTGTGTGTTCTCGTGTCTTGTGTTGTGGCCTGGCTGTGCTGTCTGTGTGCAGGCAAGGAGATCAAGGTTGAGATAGCCCGTCGTTCCCGCCCCTACGAGCGCACCCCAGGCACCTACAAGGGCCCTGCATGTAACTAACTGACCAACACCAGCACCCACCACCCAACACCAGCAATCAATCACCCACAAGCCAGCATCGATCCATGGAAAGGAGCTGACCCATCTTGGCCCGCCGTGCCCTGTTGTCTGGCTGTGCAGCGGCGAGCATCAAGTACGACCGTTACGGACGGATCAAGCCCGAGTTCGCTGACTATGAGGCGCGCATCTCTGGCGGCGGGGGTGCCAGCGTGTTCCCCGCTCCACGGATCATCCAGCCGCCCCTCGAGGCATACAGCTACAGCAGGGACAGGGGGTCAGCCACCCGCACGGACAGACAGACAGACAGAGGAGAGGCAGGGATACTTCGGGTGGCTGGGTGTTGGTGGTGTGTGCTGCAGGTACGACCGCGGCTATGACCGCGGCGGGCGGTACGACACCCGCCGCGACGACTACTGGGAGAGTGCACGATACAGGGAGTACGACGACCGAGACAGAGAGTGAGCCACGTCACACCCGACACAGCACAACAACACAACACCACACATCCCGACGCACATGTGTCTGAGTTGTGTGCCTCCCTGGTTTGATCCATCTGTTAGTCGTGGTCGTTATCGCGAGGAGGATTACTATCGTGGGGGCTACGACCGGGACCGCGTGAGCTCTCGCTACTACGAGTACGACGACCGCAGATACTCAGGCGGAGCCGCCAGATACGATGAACGGTGCGCTTAACAAAGAAGGATGCCAGAGACGGGCTGTTCATGCTTCACCATGTGTGTGTGTGTGTGAATGTATGTGTGTGTGCAGTGACTATCGTCGTTATGACGACCGAATGATGCGGGGCCGCGAGCGGTCCCGCTCACCCAGACGCTACTAAGCGCGGCCCAGCCCAGCCCCCGCGGCAGCTCGGCTTGCGGCCGAGCAGTGCAGCCATGAATCGAGTGAAGCCCCAGCTGCTTCCTCGTCCGTGTAGTGCGTGGTCTGTCTGCCTGCCTGCCTGCCACTTGCTGCGATCCATCCATCCATCCACCCCCACCCCC